ACTGATAAGTTGTTTTCCTTTCTTTCTATTCATTTGTTCTTTCAAACTATGTAACCGTTTTTGTAATATTAAACCATTATTTTGTAAATATATATACCATACCCTGTAAATTCATTTAGATTGCTCTGAAGATGTTTTATTGTAAACAACGAAACGTTAGCTAATAAAATTTTTTACTTTTATTATGTTTGGATTTAAAGTTATTTGCTGGGCTCCGCTCTTTATCTTTAAACTAAGATTTCCGCCTGGTGTATCAATTGCCACAGATTGAAAATGATTATTATTTATCATTTTGACGTTTGAGTGATTGAAATGAGTTCATTTACACTATATCGAATGTCATGTTGAATGTCATGCTGAATCTTATGCGTACTTCACAATGGTTGCTATTTCGTTGTATTAAATTTCAATAGTATGTATAAATACTATTTATAATTCAAATTTTGTTTGATATTTATATCATGTTATTTACATAATGTGCTGTAGTTTTGAAGCTTGGCACACAACAATCAGTGCGAGCACAATGGCTCCGTTTCAGTTTGAGTATATAAAAATCGAGTCTTTTGATAGCGTTCGCGGCATATTACTAGGTTACCCACAGGGCAGTAATGCTGCCTTTGACAGCAAAAGACAAACTACAGGGTGTTGAACGAGTCCTTCAGAAACATCCTATTATTGTTATCCTTGTTAACCCATTTATTGACAGTACCCTACCACTGACTGAGTATTAAAAATCGTCTGGCGTTGGACAGGGTAAATACTAAAGTAGGGGTCATTACTGTGTTGATGAATTAACAAGAGCCACTGGCAGATAGGTTTGTTAACCCATTTACTGACAGTACCCTATACCACTGACGAGTAAAATCTTCTGGCGTTGGACAAGCGAAGGGCGCATTGCCAGCTAATGGGTTAAACCACCGTGGTTAAACATAAGATTTCATGATGCTCCAAGAAATGTAAACAGTTTATATATTTATATACTCGGAATATTGATTTCTCGGTATAAACAAAATTATTTTAAAGTATAACAACCAGCGAAGACGTAAGCCACTAACTACCCTGCGCGGCTGCGCGCAGACTATATAATGGCATATATATGTCATTCGTCCGGTCCGTCCGTCGCCATCCGTCCGTCCGTCCGTCATTCATCCGTCCGTCCGTATTCGCGTTTTATCCTAACCCGTTTTTAAAACACAAAGTTTGCATAATTAAGGCAGTGCGTTTCGTCATGATCAACATTTTCAAAAGCGGCCAATTAAACCAGGGGTTAAAGGGCAATGACAATGACATGCAGGTGACATTTAACATTGCGTCTCACTAATTAAAATTTGCGTGTTTAATAATGTTTATCAAAGAAAGCAAAAATGTATACAAGACAATCTCACATGTGGAATTTTTTCACTTACGTACTGCCTTGTGATGCAGTACAAGTATAAATACAAATGACAAAGCATTTGTAAATCCTAAAACATAATTAAATCATACGGCACATTTAAGATTTTAATATCGTATTTCAACCGCGTTTATACTGTTTGGCGCATTCGCTGCGTTATATTCACTTATATACACAGAAAAGCATGTCATTGTCCATGCAGACCATAGGCAAAAAGCATTTGTCAGCCATGCACATACCAAATTTAAGCAATCGTTAAATCATATACATGTCATGGAAAGAATATGGAAATAATGTTGAATGAAAGCTAGCATCGCGTATAATATTAAAAGCACCGCATATAGTGCTCGAACCACTGCGTATAATTGCAAAAGCACCAAGTATATAAATGGTGAAAGCACCGCGTATAATACTGGAACCACCGCGTATAATGGCGAAAGCACCGTGTATAATGCCGAAAGCACCGCCGTATAATGCTAAAAGCACCTAACAAAATGCCGTTTGATCACTCTAAGCCAGCTGCCAGCTATGGCTTTCCATAAAAGAAGACCAGAGATGAAAGATGATCACATTGCCTGTTTCCCTTATGCCCGACCGCGCTGCACCACGGTTAAAATTCACTGGTACCGTCATGCAATGCGCCAAATAGAAAATTTCATTCGACCCACAAAACAAAATTAGGATCTGCTGCCTTGCTCGCTCGCTTCAGGCTCGCTCGCTGCGGCAGCAAAAACGCCTGATAATTGATAAATAATCACTAATCAGTGCGAGCACAACGGCTCCAAAATAACAACAAATAACAGAATATAAGATAAGCTAAAAACAGTAAAGCTTTACCTACCTCGATTTATATTTCTAAAGCGCTCAGTTACGTAAATTTTCGGCGAATAATCAATATTTCTCGACGAAAACCCGGCATGAAAATGCTCGTCGGAAAAACTCGGTATTTGTCGTATTTTACGAATCTGCCACGTGACTGGTACAACGCTCACCGACCGCGACACGAAATTTAGAGCTATATGAAAGTTGCATGCCATATATGGAATGCAACAAAAATAGGTACGCAGTGCGTACATGTTGCATGCCATCAATAATAATAATAAAAACTTAGCCTGAAAACAGACCTACGTTCCGCCCGCCCTAAAATTCGCGGGTTGACGGATCCGTCGACCCGCGAATTTTAGGGCGGGCGAAACGTTGGTCTGTTTTCAGGCTAATCAAATCCATGAAACCTTATGACACAGAATGCTATACAGAAATCGATTTCCATTGTTTTATGCGTAAGCGCTATTCGTCATGATTGATGATTCGTCACTCAGCAAGTACCGTAAACAGAAGCAGTCACCCCCCCCCCTGATCTGGTTATGATGCGCTAGCGCTTATAACTTTTGGTACAACTGGCCTAAAACTTTTGATTCAATAAGTTTAATATCAATATATTTATTGAAAAATAGCTATTATATCAAAATAAGAAAACTTTAGATCGGCTGACGCGAATACCGTATTTACTCGATTGAGCGCCGCCCCCGATTGAGCGCCGCCCCCGAATGAGCGCCGCATTTGAGATCAAATATTTTTAAAGAGCGCCGCCCCCGAATGAGCGCCGCACTAATTATTTTCAAATGCGGCGCTTAATCGAACCCTTTCAATGCGACGAATTTACATCTTCTGATGTCGAGGAGGTATATGCAACAATGGTTACCATGCAGCAGTTGGACTCGGATCATGAAGAGGACAGTGACATTGATATTTTATAAACTTGTGAACAATGTATAACTTCCCGCCGTCAAAATGGGGGACATTTAGTGACAAAGACATTTAAAAATTGTTTATTTTATTGTTAAAAGTTCTTGTTATAATTCACAAATAAAATATTTTTTAAAGAGCGCCGCCCCCGATTGAGCGCCGCATCTGAAGCTCTGAAAATTTAAAGAGCGCCGCGGCGTTCAAATAGGCCGTAGGATGAGCATCCAAAAGATGCTTAGAAAACGGATTCCGTTGCACCCCTCGTGGAACTACGTAATGTGTAATTTGTAACTATATACTAATTGTAATTATTAACCCAACTTTTTTTGTAAATATGTATTGTGCAACGGCCCCTTGGAAAACAGCTCTTATCTATGCTGAAGGGCTACCGTTGTTTTTAAAGAAGATTAAATAATAATAATAATAATAATAATAATAATAATAATAATAATAATAATAATAATAATAATAATAATATTAAAAGTATTAAAGAGCGCTGCGGCGCTCTTTCCTAGCTATATGCTTACACATGCGTTGCGCATAATACACAGACAATAGCTTCACATGTAATTCCTAACGGTGAGAAAATGCGATTTCGAGCCGCACTTTTAAATCTATTTTTTATCGCAGATAGAAAAAAGGTTGCATTCGACAGCTATATAAGACTATATAAATGTCTGATCTTTATTGGTATGCAAAAAGTTAATGGATAAACGTAATATATATTTCATGATAACATGCCAAACAGGGGCGGATCTAGGGGTAGTCGGATTAGTCACGCGACTAACGTAAAAAAAGGCATTTAAAAAAATTTGGATCAAGGTTTTAAAATGATTACCACCCAGCGCGCAAACGCTTTCCTTCACTCCGATCACGCAATCAACTCTATCCCACTCCAGCATGTAAACTTCGATCAATTTTTGCACATTGAGCTAGCGATTGATTGGTCAAACGATAAGTCAAATAAGCGGTATTCAAATGAAAATTGACTTTTCTGTGTTTTTGTTCATGTAATTTGATTGGTCAAATTTGGTCTGACTACACGTAACAGGCATATTGATTGGTCAAACCTCTTTTGACTCACGATTGCGCAATTTTGACCAAATATTTGGTGAATAGGTTTTCGGATCGTCGAATTTCACAGAAAAATTTTTTCGGATTTCGGATCTGGCGAATATTTTACACGGATTTGCGGATCTTATTAATACAGCGGATTGCGGATTTATCTAATATTTTGGCTCGGATTGTGGATTTAGCTTGCAATTTAGTTCGGATCCTGGATTGTGATTTCATAGTGGTGTTAGGAAAGTTTGCCTCCAAAACTGATTCCCAACAAATAATACGTCACTTCGCTTAAAATCACTCACAAATTAAGGTTTAAAAGTTATATTTAATAATAGAAATCGCCTCGCTATAAAATCTCACTTCGCTCTCACAAATCTCACAAAAAATGTGCTTATCTCAACAAAATTTAACACTGTACGTTCCCAGTCTCCGACACCCTCCCCCCATATAGCTGTAATAACTGCTATATGTCCTAAAGGAGACTGAAGTAT